TTGTGGTTCTGTGACTTATGTTCAGATAGTCCGATAATTATTGTTCAAACGCTTACGATAAGGTGTGAAGCGTTGGCTGTTACGTCGGCAGACCAAAAGGAACTGATCGCAGTATTGGGAGGGAAAATCTCAGAACTCGTTGCAGATTAGTGCGTTCCGTAGTCGGAATCCCCAACCGGTAAAAAGACAAAAGCTCTCTAGCAACAATGCTATCCAGTCCAGCGAAAGACAAACACCGTTAGTGAAAAACAGCAGTGAAAACAGGCCGCTTGAACGGTCTCCCAAGTCTCACGTAATGCTCCAAAGCATGCAGAGTTACGCACAAATTGCACGTTCACCGTCAGTAGCTGGGCAACAACAACTGAACCCTACAGATAGTGCAACTAACGGCGTTGTACGTGAAAAATCTTGATGTAGCCTTGGCCTGTCGTCCACGGAAGACAAGCCAGACAACCCCACTCTACAAACCTACGCTCACAAGGAACTGCAGAACAAACAATTACTACGCAACCAAAAGGCAATGATAGTGATATGTTCAAACGTCCCAGAACCCACTAGCGAATCGCTAAAAGGTAGACAAGCCGAGGAGCAAAACCACTGGGCTGAAATAACTTGCGCTTGCGGACTGAAAGTAATCCTAACTAGTCTTACACGCCTTTCACGGAATCCATCATCTCCACACTCAGGGGAACCTCGGTTACTGAGAGTAACGTTTGGCAACACACGTGACCTGGAAGACGTTCTATTTGCAAGCGACATTCTAATGACCTTCCTGTCAGTGCCCGCATTTTTCCTGACAGGCCATGGTTAGAAAGACAGAAGCAGAAATCCAACCCTAGTTCGTCACGTCAAAATGAGATGAAGAAAGTAGTACTGGTTCATCGTGTGCCAGAAGTGATGCATGACGATAGCACTGAAGGACAGAAACACGACATCGAAGAATGGCGGTACATCGCAGAACTATACGACATGAAGAATGTCGTGGCTTTTGACGTCACCCGTCTAACTGCTTCCACAAACTACCAAGGCAGCGGGCCACGAATTTTGAAAGTTATCTTAGCTGCGCCTGAAATGGTATGAGTGGCAATCCAAGCATTGCATGACAACAGGAAACTTGGACCACCAGAAGTACGGTTAAGACCATTCCTTCAATTAGTACAGACCTCAGATACAGATGAGCCAGCCTCAATTGTAACTATCTCAAACCAGCCAACTGTGCAAACAACCGTTTCAAAAAATTTCAGCAGACCGGCACTATCTGTGCCGTTCACTCACAGCGAACCGAGCTCCTGATTCGTCAACGAATACAATGCTGCTACACCAACACTCAGGGGTTGTGTTCTAAGCTCTCGGAGCTGCGCCATCGACATGAAACAACAACTTGGGACCTCATAGCAGTCACTGAAACTTGGCTCTCAAACGACAAACTTGATCCGGAGATTGAACTCAGTGAGATGTAAGTCATTCGAAATGATCGTCCATCTCGCGGGGGCGGTGTTGCTCTCTACTATCGAGATTATTTGAAATGAGAGGCTCTTGCCAAAAATTCCCTTGTTATTTCCGACGCACTGTTTTGCCGACTGCACCTAGCAGGTCGAGATGTTGGTTCACAGAAGAAGAGTGACGCTTGCCTCTTAGCAGTTCTCTCTATGGGCCTCCGAACTCATTAGCAGACAGCGATAACATTCTGTTAAACGCCCTCCGCTATGCTGTTTCACAAAATTACTTACACTATCTTATAATGGGTGACTATAATGTTCCCTCAATAGCATCAGTGTCCCCTAATGGGCCATCATTTAAATCGAAACTCCTCGAATTCATGAATATGACAGTTTTGTATAACCATGTGCATCGACCAACCAGACACCGCGGTTCAAACAAACCATCACTCCTAAACTTAATCCTGACTAATGAAGAGTTGATGGTTGAGTCAGTAGCATACGTTCCTCCACTGGGCCGTAGCGACCATTCAGTCCTAATATTTGGTTATGTGTTTTATGCCAGTATTGTTGCTAAAGAAAGATCGACTCAACGAACTATTATGGACTACTTTAAGCTGTAAAACTTAGCAGCAACCGTTGACTGGGACCTACACGCACAGCTAAGTGAATGACGCGTGTAATGAACTAACAGACAAAATTAACTGGGTCATACAATCATCATCGAAGGTTGCACCATTACGAGCATCGCGCCGGACCAGTAAGTGGATCCGGAGGAGAACACGTAAATGGATCAACAGAAGAGATGAAATCTGGAGGCAGCATTCGCTAAGCCCATGTACTATTACATGGCAGAATTACAAAGTCACCAGAAACTACTGCACGTCGCTCGTTAGGGTCCATAAGTACGAATGGCGGGAGAATATGGTGCTGAAATTTACGAGCAACACCAAACTACTATACAGATTTGTGAATGGCAAAAGAAGGGTTAAGCCCGGAATACCACCACTCAGGACGGCCAGTGGCCTAACAACTACTGCTGTGGATGCCGCGAACGCTTTACTCCTGCAGTTTGGCTCTATAGCTACAAATACCATGGAACCTTCACCCTATCAACTCCCAACAAATGTTGCTGGCTTATCCAGCGTCGCCTTTAATCCAGCAGCTGTGCAAGCAAATTACAGTGCCTCCGGCATCGAAATGATCTGCCCAAAAGTACTAAAAACGCTTGCTTCCACCATAGCAGCACCACTTGCGACCTTTTCCAGGGTCTGCTTAACTCCCATACACTCCCATCTGAGTGGAAAATGGAATTGTCACTCCAATATACAAAGGAGGTAGGCGATCGGATCCTGTCAACTACTGACATATTACACTCCTTCCTGTTTTATCAAAAGTGATGGAATCGCTAATCGCAGATGAACTGACGCGATACTTTGAAAATCTGCAAATGATTTCTAATGCCCAACGTGGTTTCAGACGCAGACGATTTTGTCTCACCAATTTGCTGCTTACTCGGGACTCATGGACCAGGGCGGCTGATGAAGGAGTCCCAATAGATGTGATTTATTTGGATTTGTCTAAAGCATTGGACAGGGTCAATCACTTCTTTCGCCTCCAAAAGCTTGCTGCCTACGGTATCAACGGTTCCCTGCTCACCTGGTTAGGAGACTACTTACACGATAGAGCAATCAAGGTAAGAGTAGCCGACACTCATTCCGCAAGCCTGTCCGTCTCCAGTGGTGTACCGCAAAGGTCCGTCCTCGACCCGCTACTGTTTTTAGTCTACATTAAGGAGCTTCCAGCAGACATTCTATCTCTGATGTAGGTATTTGCAGACGATGCTAAAATATGGACAGCAATTCGCTCAGCTTCCGACCGTATCTACCTCCAGGAAGATCTGACTCGGATTAACGTATGGGCAGAAAGAAACCAGCTCCCACTGAACCCTGCAAAGTGCCACCTGCTGACGGTGCGCAGCAGCTTCGTCAATACATACCTTTTGGGGCAACACGTCTTGCAACACGTGACTAGTGAACGCGACTTAGGTATAATCGTGCAAGAGTTTTGAAAATTCGCTCCAATCTTCGAAAGCAGCAACTGTGGCGAACTTGAACTTGAAACTTTTGAGGCGAGCTCTCGGCACCTTTGAGCAACGGCTAGTACCATTGCTGATTAACTCCTACATTCGCCCTCACGTTGAATATGCAATTTAGGCCTGGTGTCCATGGTTAAAACGAGACATCCGCCTCTTGGAACAGCGGCAAAGAAGAGCCACAAAGACAACGCGTAGACTATCCGGTCTAAGTTACGAACTGCGTTTTCGTGTACTCGGTGTGTTCTCATTAGAATACCGACGGCTTCGCGGAGATCTTTCTCGTACATACCGGATACTAACTGAAAGCGAGCATCCATGTACATCACAGTTGACTCTAGTTCCTTATAAACAAACCCGAGGCAACCACCTGAAACTAATGACGCAACACGCCCGTCTGAATTGTAGAAAGTATTTATATTCACTTAGAATCTGTTCTCACTGGAATGTATTACCAAGATATGTGGTGAACGTACCATACATGACGACATTCGAAAGACTCTTAGACTTTCATCTTAGTAATAAACGCTACACACTAGTTTGATAAAGTGCAATGATTTAACCACTGATACTTCACGTTCCACGTTGGAACATTTTGTTTTTGATTTTCTTTCGCATATCCATCCTGTGGGTCTTGTAAAGTTATGCTTTTCATCCCATCACAGACTATTGAACTATTGAATATTGTTGTTCCATGGTATGATGATGACATATGTTTCAAAACCCACGCCCGGTGTGCTAAAGTACTAGTTGACAGTGTACGATGGATTAAATGGAACTGACCTACTGATATGGTCGCGTCTACGGAACCTGAGAAGCTAACACGAACCATGATGTTGCTCTTTCCGTAATCGATTTTCCCAATCATGTCGGGTGAGCAGGCTCCCGTAAGTTTGCCCAACACAGGATATTTCCGTCGCCAAGCCAATCTTTGCCGTTTGCACCAGAAGGAGAGCATGAACTCCTCAGAGTGATAAAACACTGTGGTGTTTTTGCAGCTTTATAGCGGATGTACTTTTTCACAAACACATTCAGACAATCTCACACTTAGTAGCTCCTTCAGCCCCGGACCACTGTAGGACTAGGATGCTACCCAGGAACAGCAAGAGGAGCGTACAAGCCAACTGGATCGCAACGAGAATACATTCCTTGACGCACTTGTCTTGTACAACTATTCTGTTCGCTTCCATGCTGACTGAGTGTGGAATCACATTGAATTGAGAAAATAAGAGAAACTCATGATTTTAAATTTTGAACATAAATTGGTTTTTGTAGGATTCTTATTGCGGCCATATATTACAATAAAAAAGCTAAACCAACTGTGTGCCGATTCGTCTGGTCTGAATAAGCTGTAGCTCCAAATTGCCGCAATAAAAACCCATAAAAAACGGTTTGTATTCAAAACCTTCAGAAAGTATGTACTTCCAGTCGGTTCCAAGCCATTTTCGAGATAAAGAGAAACTCACATGTATATGTTGCCTCTCCTTCGAATTTCGCTTCCGTGGCACGCCTCGCGGGTGGTTTACATGAGTGAGATTTTTGAAGTGGTTTCGCTGTGTGTAGTGGCAAAGTGGAGAAGGTTCAGTAGAGTAAAAACACCGCTAGAGATGCAACGTCTGATTGAGAGTGAACCATAAAGCATTTACATGTATCCGTACTCGAGGTATGGTATCAAACGGCGGAGATGGGTACACGCCCGCTGTAGTAGTGGCAAGCTAAAAGCTTGTTTCCATTACGGAGTGATATAGGACCTAACAGCCGTCATATTTATGTAAGTATGTCTCCCCAGGCGTTATCAAGTGTCACGGGTTTACCTTAATGTGGAGTTTGCTGTTGGAGCTGCGGATGTTGCATTGAACGCCTGTCAGCGCTCTAGGTAGCCACGGACACCATGCAGTTGACCAAAATTCCAAAGAAACATTGAAACGAATTCCGCTAGCCCTTTATGTGTGCAAGCGTATGGAAAGGATTATACATCCGAGTGACGTACTGATTCTAAGCAGTGTTCAGAAGCAAGGTCTCAAATATTGTAGATGTATCGCCATAGCATTCGCAATCTTTGACCGCGCTCCACTTATGACACCGGAGGAAACAGAGATGCCGTAGGAAACCAGTCGACTTTGATGAGACACTATAGTTCAGTGCCGATTTCAGTTGTTTTCAGCTGTGTATGATTGAACTGTTTCGGTCTGGTCGGTATCCATTAGACACCCAGGAGGGTAGTTCAAATGAACAATGTTTAAATCTGGATTAACAATAAATGAGTCCTTGGCTTTTCGACGTGGAATCCGAGAGGCCGATTCCAACGATTTTTCGTGGGAGGTAGACTCTGTTTAAGCAGTCACTGGATTTATATTTCTATGAGGTAATATTAGGGGTTCAACGGAAATGCGAGTTTTTGGCTCACAGTTAGTTGGTTACCCCTTTGAAAGATTTGTCATTCCCTTTGATTTGTAAACATTGGTAAGTTAGAATAACCTACCAGATACCACACTTTAAGTATCACTGAGAACCGTGCATTCGCGTGCCTCGATCAGACTTACCGATGTATTCTCTAGTATAGGTGGATTGCCCATCAAATTTTGTTTTTGGCGGTTCGTAACAGGCCTCTCTTTTACACGAAGGCTGTTTGTCCAACGGAGGTGCAACATAATCAACCCTGCCAGAGAAGAAGTAAGGAATTCGAAAATGTTATCAAGATGGGGTTTGGTGGGGCTTTCAGAATACTGACTCTGAGTATCCTGAATTCTGACATGCAGGTAACTCAAGGACAATTGCTCTTTTCTGCTTAGTTTAAAAGAGCATATGAAGGGTATACAGAGCATATCAGGTCGACTGTATGGAACTCATCATGATTATAACACTGGATCGTAATGTGACATGATAGTTTGACATGGTTCCGTGACCCGTTCAGCCACACTGAGAGACAAGTACCAACCAATTCACAAGCACCGTTACTACAATTAATTTGACAGGGGTTAGACAAACTCACTTTCAACGTGCTTCCTATTGGATGTTATGATAAGAAAGTTGGATTTATTACTTAGAAGTAGACAGCGCGCGACGGTAATGTGTGTTGCTGATAGACCCCAACAGAACAAAAAGACTGTCTAGCACTTTTCTGCATGAATGGTGTTAATCTGACAGAAGCTGATAATAAAATAATCTTTGCAAAATACTTCCTCGTGTAATTGCTAATATTCGAACAATAGTAATCCCCCGCGCTGGTCAATATTGTTTTCCTGTGATTGTCGGCCCATATGTCTAAGAAGAAATCCTGTTGTATGCGAAGCAGTAATCCGCAAGGACAGTAACCAGGCATGAAGATTCATCTGTCACTCTTGGCTTGATCACTGCACATCAGCGGGGGGGGGGGTCGTCAGCCAACATCCCTTAGGATCGGAGGAGATGGATGCTACCGAGAGTTCCCACTAACACAAGATGGCCATCGATCGCTTTTCCGGTTGTGTAATGTCTATTTGACTTATGAATCTACTTACAATAATTCAAGACCTCTTCATGCTGCCTAAATTGACATGGACGGTTGGGTGAGCATTTATATCCGTACCGCTCTTAGAGGCTGACTTGCCGAACAACCTCCTCGTGGTGCCAGCTGGGTGGTTCGGGATTTTCCGGTTCCAGCAAATGGTTCGGCGACAGTGTTCCAGGACGTGGTGCGTTTTCGCCTGGCAAGAGTTCTCCCTATAAAAAGCTACATATGTCCGTCTAACAACACTGTGACGTGGCGCACGTGACTAGTCACTAAATAAAGTCACTGCCCCTTGCTTCATCCTGGCGAAGCATTGTATTCCAGCAACTTTATGCTGTAATTCTGGGGAGCATTGGGCCCCTATTTGAAAAAGGAACAAACAAAAGGCGTATGAACTGAACGATCAGTTACCGGTTCCCAATGGCTGCGATTCCCTGATTTCGCTCCGCTGCCTTGCGGGCAAGTTATTCAGCCAAAGGCTCGGGGTGGTGTCCCTAAGTCAACACCCTACTTCGACTTAAGCAACCGGATAATATCTCGCCCTCTGACGAAACCATGGACTTTGATGTGTTTTGTTGTGTTTTCTTTTACTATTTCTGTACCTTCTTTTGAGGCCCATGGTTTCTGATGGCTCTATGTCTATTAGTAGACTGTTGCATATATATATATATATATGCAGACATAATGCAGGTCTGGCGGAAACACTTTGACTGTCTCTTGAACAACCGTTCAGAGATCGACTGGCCTACACTGAATGGCCTGAAGCAGCACGATGTGAAGGCGGATCTGGCGGATACGCCGAGACTGGATGAGACGCAGAGGGCACTTGCTCAGCTGCGAAACGGCAAATGTGCCGGAGGTGACGGGATCCCACCTGAAGTATTGAAACACGGTGGACCCGCGTTGTTGACTGCGCTGCACCACTTGGTGCAACGCGTGTGGATTGAGGAGGAGGTGCCTGCTGAGCTGAAGGATGCGCTTGTGCTACCACTGTACAAGGGCAAAGGTAGCAAGCAATGTTGCACGAATTATCGTGGCATCAACTTGCTGAGTTGTGTGGGCAAGGTGATTGCCCGAATCCTGCTCAATCGCCTCGTCAGTCAGATTGTGGAACCTAACGTGGCGGAGGAACAGTGTGGATTCCGTTCGGGTCGCAGCACTATAGATATGGTGTTTGCGGCTCGTCAGTTGCAAGAGAAGTGCAGAGAACGACACCAGCCATTGTACTCGCTTTTTGTTGATTTCACCAAGGCATTTGATACGGTGAACCGCGAGGCACTGTGGCTGGTGTTGGGTAAGTTTGGTTGCCCGCGTAAGTTTGTAAGTTTAATTGAATGTCTGCACAGTGGTATGCGAGCGAGGGTGCAGCTGAGTGGAGAGACGTCTGATGACTTTACAGTTGTCTCTGGTGTGAAGCAAGGCTGTGTGTTAGCTCCTGCCCTGTTTAATATCTATCTTCATGCAATGTTGTCTTGTGCTTTTGATGCGGCGTGTGCTTACGGTGTTCGTGTGGAGCACCGTATTGATGGTGGGTTGCTGAACATCCGTCGTTTCGGTGTGAGAACACGAGTCTGTGAGACAACTATCCGTATGTTGCTGTTTGCTGACGACTGTGCGTTGTTTTCACACAGCGCGGATGAGTTGCAACACATGACTAGTGCTCTGGCATCGACAGCGGCCAAATTCGGGCTCACCATAAACACAAGCAAAACTGTCTGTCTCTTTCAGCCTTCACCGGAGGTGAAATCTTCAATATTGCCGCAAATCAGCATTGGTGCTGAAGTATTGGAAACCACCTCCCGCTTCTGCTACCTTGGGAGTGTGATGTCGACTGATCAGCAGCTACACGTTGAGTTGCGTAATCGCGTGTCGAAGGCGGCAGCGGCATTCGGGAAGCTTGAGTACCGAGTGTGGAACAACCATCAGCTTAGCATTGGCACGAAGCTGATGGTGTACAAATCCATGGTACTGTCCGTTCTTCTATACGACAGTGAAACGTGGACGATGTACCGGCGGGATGTGCGATATCTCGAGCGGTTCCATCAGCAGTGTCTGCGACGAATTTTGCGGATCGGCTGGGGCGCCAGAGTTGCAGACACGGAAGTTTTACGCCGAAGTGGGATGTATGCAGTGGACGGCATACTTTTACTGCGACACCTGAGATGGCTCGGTCATGTGAGCCGTATGGATTCGACGCGAATACCGAAACAAATTTTATACGGTCAGCTGAGTATAGGGAAGCGGCACGTGGGGAAACCAAAGTTACGTTACCAGGACATGATTAAAGTGAGCCTCACACGTTCTAATCTTGATTGCAGATCATGGGAATCGAAGGCGGTTGATCGAGGTGCATGGCGCGATCTAATCACAAAGGCAGTTGCTGAAGTGCGGGAGAAATCCCTCATGCATGCAGAGAAGAAGCGGCAAGTGCGGAAGAGGCAAGCACCAATAAATTGTACTCCATCGACATCGAGGGCATTGTGCTGTAGAACATGCGGTCGCGAGTGCCTTAGTCAGGCAGGCCTAGTGATCCATGAGAGAGGTCACTCGGGACCACTGCCGAAGCGCCGACGGGTCCCGCAGTGAACGTAGGCAGCACCGGCGCAGCGTTTGTAGGCACGCTGAATTCGATTTACTAACCGCGTGCTTGCATGCTAAGTCTCTTTATTTCAGGTGGTGGGTTTACAGTTTTTACCTTAGTACTTTTCTTTCTCATATAAATAGCTCCCTGTACTCTATTTCATTAACTTGTACACATCGCTTCAGCCAATTGTATTCAATTTCCAAAACATTTTTGTGTTCGTGGCATTCCGTGAACTATACTTCCTGACCTCGTGCACTTTGCTAGGATCTGTTTGTAAACAACTTATTACATATGCTCATTAAATTAAGATTTATGTCACCGTTTCCATATGCATTAATCGAGTTTTTCTCTTTTTCTTTCTCTCTATCTCTCAAGTGTTTGGCTGTTGTTTGATATCCCCGGTGTGGCTGCGCTTGATGTGCATGTTGACAAGGTGCCTACCTATCTATTACCCACTACCTCGTCCATACTGGCTCCAGGAGACAGTTGGTCGTTGCTGGAGGGGACAGGGTGCACGGTCCTTGTGGCCGTGTTAGGCTCGAAGAGTGGTTCCATGCAGTCAGTGTGGAGCGGACTACGGTCCAGCCACCACCTTGTGTGCGCTTGATTCCCAAATACAGTGTGCTTGTGTTTGCCTGTGAAGGAGTGTGGGCCGGCTCCGTTGATGAAACGTGGTTCCCATCCGCATGCCTCCCGGTCTTATTCCTTCGGGTTTACACTGGATATGGGGTGTGTGGTTGGAGCTGTGGGTGGTGCAGCGCAAGCCATCCATGGTCCCTCTGTAGGCGCAGGCGTCCTGTGGCTTGCCACAGTGACAGGCAAATCCGAAACCGGATGCCGCCACCCATATATATATATATATATATATATATATATATATATATATCGCTCCTAGAATTCACTTTGCCTCTTGCTATGAATCAATTTGCGTTAGAGTGCTGAGCGGATTGAGTTAATAAAATCTTTATGCTGTATGGACTTTGTAAGACTATAGTGAGAATGACCAGCCAAATAGTGCCTTGCTTTTTCTCTACCAAAAGTTAGTCACGAACCTTCTCCTTTAGTCCTTTTAGATTCTCGAGGAGCTTTTACGTGAACTTAGCAGAATTCCTAGTAGCACACATCAACCTTAACCGATGCTTCGTTTTGATTGTTTGGTACCTGCTCTTGTTAACAGTAACATCCAGAGGCCTCTCGAAGATGGTTTTATTATCGCACATAATGCAATTATCTGAATCGAGCTCCCTTTTAGCGCTTGACACTACGTTGCAAACTGAGGACAATTTTTCGTTCAACTTTAATGCGAGAGGCAGTGGAAATTAAACCATAAGTTTATCTATGCATAAAGGCCATACATTTTTTCGACAGAGTGAGTGATGTGCAAAGCATTTTTGTGACCACCCTTTAGTTCCTTCCGGTGGTGTGGTAGAATCTGTTTTCGCTCGTCCAGCCTACTATCCTGCAGTTGCCAGGTCGACACAGCAATCACATGATAGCCAGCAGGGCTGGACATCTAAACTTGGAGCAATCCTTTAGTACAAACGAGGTCCTGCCGTTTCGAAACTCGGAACGACCATTCTGAATC